GTTTCGCATCGCGAAACATCATTCGTTGCGGGAATCTCGAGTCCACTGATGATCAGCGATGGACCTGAGCTTCCCGCAGCGGAAATGTTTCGCGCTTTGAACGCGAGAAAGTCACTTTCTGTCCTAGTGAACCACACCCTTTGTTCCCTATGCTCCTCTTTTAGTACTCCTACCTCCAATTATTAAAATTCTCCACCTGTGTATATAGCGGTCCAAGCTGTAGAAAGGTGAAATGCCCTTCTTAGCAGCTCTGCTGGTTTCATCAAATCGTTCTTCATCGACGTTTCGCTCTGACCGTTGAGTATCCTGCTTTATGCTTTCGACGTCGTAGACGTCATTCTGTAGTACAAATGTTATGCTCTGTCTTCCCTTTTTCTGCAACTTAATGGTTATCGGATGAAGTGTTTGTGCCTTTTTCACAGCCATTCCATCACTGCTTTTCAGGAGGCTACATGTTCGCTTGCACATAGCAAACTAGGCACGTGGGCAGTCACTTGTGATGGTCACATTCTGGTCAAGCCGAACAACGTCGACAGTTGGGTAACTGTTGCTGCGCCTCCTGATCTCCCAGCGGATGTCTCGCCTTCGCAGGTTAGTAAATTGTGTAGGGTTATCAATGAATGCAGCACAAATGCTGCCTCAGAGAAGGGTGGGGGATCAAGCTATCACCTAGTTTTGGCTCAGGAACAAAAATAGTTCTGGTTACAAAGCATATTAGAACTACCTTTTACATGGCATTTGCCGTAGAGGTCTTCCATGGAGAGGTCTGGGATAACTGTAATGGGACAATCTCGGCAGATAGGGTGTCCGTGAAATTTTTTAGTATTTCGGGGAAGCGTTGATGAGTTCAATAACTCATTTTCTCGATATTTCTGGAACAGAATTAAATCTACTGCTCGAACAGTTGAAAACTTTTTGAGTACGTCTATATGATTTATTTCTTACTGACGGGTTTTTGTTTCCCAAAATTGAATACATTGACATTAATAAAATTAAAGTACTTCCAGTTTTTCTTGTATACTCTATTAGTTTTTCCCAACTGGTTCTTCCTGACATGAAGTTGCTTGTTCAGGTTTTCTCTTCTCCAAATGGGATTTATGTTTGGATACTTGCAAAGGGACGTGGATGGGCACGTGTGAATATCAACGATAGAAATCCTAGCGGCACGAAATGGACCGAAGTATGTCTACTTTTGTCTTTATTTTCTACTCATTTAATTTTTGAAAATGGCATTTTTAATACCCTTACCTGTTACATTACTACTCTAATAGTACCTCACTCTCTTTTCTACTACACATTTCCAAGATTTCGAAAGTTTTTTGGTTCTCATAAATTGTTTGCTCTCTTTCCGTTGCGGAATTACCTTCGTGTTGTTATTTTGTATTGAATCTCTATAATCATTCTTCAGACCTACCACACATCAGATCTGTGCCAGTTGGCTGTTGGTGACAACATTGTCTGGGCCATAGACGCTTCTGGACATCTTCTGAGACTGCGAGGATTAGCGGCAGGGAACCCAGCTGGAAATTATTGGCGTCCTATCTTCAGGAGGGACATTCAGGTACTAATAATTTTGCTTTTTCCTTTGTCTTTTTTCCTTCGGTCAATGATCTTCTAGTATAGACTACGCCGTTTCTCGTCTGGTTATCAATATTTTGGAGGGGATGCTCAGGAAAGAGCTCAGGCTATCACTGACGATTATCTACCATTATCGTTGAATGTTTCCGCAGTTCATGACTTTTCGTTGGAAACTACCATTTCTTTTCCATTTAAATTTTTTATTTTTCTAATTTAGGGCTATTTCGATAGATGCTCGAAGCGACTTATGGGCAATCGATATGGAGAATCACCTCGTACGACATTTGGTTAGTTGTTCATTCTACTCGATTCTCTTCGCAAGTGTTTGTGAGCGTAGGCTATTGTCTGGGCTCGAAAATGATAGCGATAACAATAGTTCCTCATAGGTGCCTACTATAGTCAACAGGGTAAAATAGCACCGAACCTTTTGTTGGGTTTTCTCATTCGTAATAAGATCATGAAGGAGTCCCAGGAGTTTTCTATTTATTTTTGTAACCCGCTGTGAATTGTTTTTATCAGCTTTTTTTAGAGCGACGTTTTCGTTCCGAATCAGTTTCATAACTGTGATATTCGAGAATCATACGAGTTTGTTTGAGGAAGATTTATCTTTCTAACTTTTCTATTCTTCTAGTCTTCAGTTCTGAACACTGCTTAATATCTGTGATTGCTACTTAACTTACAATTTAGTCTTATGATCCGTTTGCCTTTATTCCCTTTTAACGGTAGTGTTTAGTTTTTATAGTTCGCTAGGTTGTCTTTCATGATCATTCGAGTGATTATTCATATCATCCTCACTTATCAGTTTGCCTTTGCAGATTCTGTTTTTGTACATAGGGTGTGGTCGGTGATTTTGATCACCGATCGGGAAAAACACTCCAAGGGGTTTCATCGTGTATTATTTCTCGCCACCCTCGCCAGATTTACATAATAGGGTGCTACCCAGTGCTGGTATGAGCTGTTCTATGGCTACGGTGTGAATGAATTTCAAATGCTGTGAATAAATCGTCTAGACCATTGATGTATGACCTCACTTATGGGCTTATGATTAGCCTGTTTTCAGTAGGTTTACTTTCATGTGTGTTGTTCCTGAATTTTAGTTACGGAAACTTCTTAATTTATATCGTATAACTTCGTATAATGTATACCATGGTTTGTATGCCCGCATGTTGGGCGAAACTCTGAGCACGTTCACGCCAAATCGCCCTCAATTTCGCAACTGAGCTGCTTAAGCCGGATGGACTAATGGGCTGTATACATTGAGGCCATGCGCATAAGCAGACCAGTTTGCATAGAATGGGGTTCGGAACGATCTTCATCTCAGGAATTTTAACCCTTTCCGGACCGCCTGACACACATGGTGTGTCAGGAACTTCAAGAGCTGATTTTTCCAAGAGTTTGGTTTTTCGATAAAATATTTTATGTTGTTACATACCTATGTAACAGACTCATGCCATATGTATGAAAAAACCTAGACTTTAGGTTTAATCTAGGTTCTAAAATAACCAAAGAGTAAATGGACTTCCACTTTGGGCTCAAAGAAAACAGTTGTAGTTCGCTTGAAAACACTTAAAAACGAAGAATTTGTGAAATATCCTGCTCGTCGTATCTGATTCTTATGGATCCAATCGTTTTGGGCACGTTCTACTCCCTTTTTCTCCATACCAACTTATTTTGAACAATTTTCGTCCCTTCCTCCCTTTTTATGGCCCTTTCCCTTTTTTTGCAAAACAGTTTTCTGTCAAATTAATCTTATATATTCTTCGAGACATGACAAAGACATAAACGAGACAAAATAATGGCTTTAGTGGGAATACAGATTAAATATATGATATTTATGCTTGCCGCGCAGCATGCGGCCGTGAGCGCAAAAAGTGCGCGGTCCGGAAAGGGTTAAGTTTATAGGATTGCTCTCTAGGCCAGTTTACAACTTACGCTTTGAGTTGAGACAAATTCTGGCCTGAGATGAAGATTCGTAGATTGATCGTCTGAGTCCGTTCAGCACCGACATCGGCTGAGTGGATTCAGCAAGATCAGATACGAGTCCTAGCGCTTGGTCTACTGTGCTTTTCAGGATGCTTCCGTGATGAAGGCATCCTTTTGGTTGGACATTCGCTAAGCGAAGTCTTCTGAGTTAAACGGATAGTACACAATGTGCTTTATCATTCGTCAGATTAATGGGATCAATCCCTGAATCGTACAGCTCAACGCAAGCCCCTCTTTGCCTCTGGTAGGTTGGTCAATCGGTAGCAGACTAGTGTGGGAGGAGAAAAACACTGACTTGTACATCAGGTTGCACCTGCAAGTTCATAGTGTGGGTCAAAATGCCACTACAATTCTGGATGGAATTAGAAGCCGTGGCGTATTTCAAAGTGGGGTTTCCATAGCCAAATGCTTAGTCTTCAACATTTTAACAAAAGTCGGCTGTGCGGCAGACTCGAAAAAATCGTCTAGCTGTGTACGAGTTATTACGGCGATAAATTTCGAAACATTACAGAACGAGGAGAACTCAAAACAGCTAAAGGATGGAACTGTACTCTTTATCACTTTTATCAGCATTATCTCCTGACAGTGATAAAAATGCAGCGCCGACTATAGTGAGTGTCGGTGAAGAAGCCCTCCCTTGAAACAGAGCTAGGGAGAGTGAATGGTGAATGACCAGTTGGCGTTGACAATTCCGGGCCATTCTTGTAGAAAGGCAACTCCAACGCGTATGAGATCCTCCCTTTCTTATATTTGGTTGAAAAATTAATAATTGAACGAGAGGTTTGCGAAATACCAAATTTCAGATCTTTCGATTTTTAGACCTCTACTGATTAGCGGAGTTTGTAGGGTGTCGCTTAACACACGCACTTTCCGGGGATCACGTCCCGGATCGTACATGGATCGGAGTTGAAATAGCGCATTAGCCAATGCTAGCAAGTCCTGGGCCATTGTAATAGGCATTTCCATCGAGAAAAGATCATTTTCCAGAGAGATGAAAGATATACTCAGCCCAAACGACTCGATCCCATGCCGATTAAGCTCTCCATCCGTCCAGGATCGGTAAATTGCTACAAGACTCGTCTGGAAGGGTAACAGCACTGACTTGTATACGTCAACTGAGGGCCACGCAATTCCCCTTGCATAGTGCAAAGCGCATCGAAGTGCTGCCAACATTCCCGTTAGTTCACCTTAATAACGCCAAAAGCCTAATACTGCTAATGCCACAAAGTGACCGACGAAGTAACATGCCTTGTTTCATTTTTCTTTTCTTGTAACGCGTCAATTGTAGTGTATGTCTGCACTCGCCATTCTCTCTCCTCCGCAAATAGGGGTTACACCCTATACAGGTTACTTGCGAACGGTAGCAAAAATAGTCTAGACAGGGAAACCGGTCGAAACAAAGAATGCGACTTCGATTAGAGCTACTAAGCAAATAAGAGGATAGAGGATCAAGCGCTTGGTGTTTTTGGTATTGCATCTGCTAACATTCGAATTTGATGGCACTTCGACTTCTTGAGAACTATCATGCCTGTTTTCTTTTTTTTTTCTTGGCCGTCGTCCACTTGTGCGTATGGTCTGCACCTCGTTTCTCGAATAAGAGGGTACGCCCGATACCAGGACGGACAAGGGATTATTGGGAGAACGGCGGTGCAATTGTGTTGTGTGAAGCGTCATCTGTCCTTCGTTTTAAGAAATCTTGAAAAAAAAGAAACAGGAAACACCAAAGAAAAAGAAAAAAAGAGAGAAAAACTCGCCTCCTCTCGTCATTTTCGCGCGCACCAATGCCGGCTCCACGCTTGCATTCTATTCTAAACCACTGGGTATTGAACGTCATTTAAATTATCCCAGGAGTGGGCAAGACAATCGGGCACGAAGATTTGCTCAACCACCGATTCTGTTATATTTTCCCGCTGAGTTTGGCTCAAACCAATTCTTTCAACCTGGAGATGTGAGTTGGCTGTTCCGACGACGGTTAATACTAGGTGTCTAACGGTCTAACATCCCCCTGCTACATGCTCCTTGTTTCTGGCTTCGAAACTGAAGGGAAAGCACCCCTTTCCGGAGTGCGCCACACATTCTACACTTTCGTTCAGAATCATGGTTCCATTTTGACTGCGATTCGACCTACACAACTTGCGGAGGCCAGCCAATGTCACTGCTTCCAGACTAGTCTGCTATTGATCCTTGAACCTGAGAAGGAACCTGGCTGCCTGCAAAACCAGAATTTTTCGCCTGACTGGCAATGTGATCACAGTAGAAAACACCACAACAATCAACATTATTTCCACTACCCATTGCCACCATCTTTTATATATGTGTGAATAAATGACGGCACGTTAAAGGCAATGCCCCAGGATCACATGTGTGGGCTCTTGCACACGAATGCGAATGTATCGGTGCCAAAATGGGCCGGCAGTGAAGAAAAAAGGAAAAGAATCCGTCAAAAACGCTCAGGTTGAAAGCTCACTCACCTTCCTAATCGGCTGTGCTAAAGGAACGAGAGACTAAGCGCGAAGAGGAGAGTAATGGGGCGAGATGATAGCGCCATACAACGGCCGAGAGAAAAATGTTTAGCTCCTCATCTCGTTTTGCCCGGTCCAACGCGCTTTTGCGTGTGGTTTCTCATCAGGTACGCGTCCAGCAGTTAAAGAGTTTCTCTAGAGTCTATACCTACAACCATACTCTATACTACTGAAAAATTTCTCGTCCAAGCACGCCTCCAACTAAGTAACACTCACACCAGACTGAGCTATAGGCTGATGTCATAATACCGCTGTAAGAAATATCGATCTGGATGGTCCACTGTGTTAGTGCCCAAGTTGTAAAAACGAATTGGCATAGGGGGTCCGCGGTTACCACTTGCTCAAGGACGTCCTCGGATCGACGGTAGACTAACAAATTCTTAATATAGGCCACTCGCGCCCGCTGACGCAGCGCTTACCCTTGGGTGCATAAAAATAGATAGCAGGGAAGATTTGCGTGGTTCCTTCTTGAAGGAATGCGCTCAGCGCGGTTGCAGGAATTTCAAATGACTCTTTGTTTTCGCATTTTAGTCTTTGTGCAGACGTTCAGGTAAAAAATCTAATAGGCCATTGTGTGGGTAGAACCATTTTTGCATTTCCAGCGGCAGAACCAAGTTGCCCTCCGCCCACCGGCTGCCTCACGTCAGCGTCAACAACGTCAACCTATTTCGCTCTTGAGCGGTCTGCACGAGGGGCGTGACTCGGCGTGTTTCAGTCCAGTCTCTACCACGATGTCGTCGAATTACTACGTCGTGGTAAGCACTTATTTGCTGCTTTTCAAAATCCCACAAATTACCTGGATAGGCTCCTTCAGACGGGATCTTCCTTATATATTTGTTCGAGGCTCAGTTATTCCTCAATAATTGCGATGCTCAAGAAGGCTGGTTCACAGGATTCTAACTAGAAAACTGTATCAACTTCCCATGTACCTTTAGGACTTAAACCTAGGTACACAAATCGATAGGGCCTAAAATATTGGTCACAAATCTGAAAAGCAAACTGATATGCGAACATGCCTAGGAAATTATGAGCGCTCAAAGTTGGCTGTTGCTGCTG